TTTACCCCCTCCCCCTTTGCAGCAAAAACAAACTTACTTAAACTGCAGCGTGTCCAGAAAAAGGGCGCTGCGCGGGGTGCTTGATGTCAGATGGGAGGACTTCGCCACAAGCAAGTCTCTCCATGCCCATTTTAGACGTCCCTGCGCTGAATCTGTACTGGAAAGAGGCTCAGTGACAGAAAAGATAGACAAACTTGAGACACGACATGACTACTGGACCTCTCTCCTTGACGAAGACATTCGCAGAACACCCAAACCAACACAACCTTTTCCCTACTCCTTGCATGATCCTGCCCTAACCCACTTACAAAAAACCCTTTGGGATCCGCTGACAGGTACCTTCTAAGACAGGTACCATTCTCTGACCCACGTTCGCCTTAGCTTTTTGGGTTAAGACATGACTCAGTTCTGCACTCCTCTCTAGCTCTAAACGTCGCAAGTCCCTTACTCACAGCTCACCCCACCGGAGCCCCAAAACAGTAAAACCCGGGAAATTTTCCCTCTTTTCAATATCTGTCCCACGATCGCCTTTGCTGCTGGGTTAAGCCCTGGCTCTATTTCTACGACTAAGAACACTCCTCTCCAGCACTATTCTTCGTCTGTCCCGTCTTCCCCGCTCATCCCATTTGGGATCTTACCTGAACTTTCGTTCGTTCGTGCAAGGGCCTTACTAGCTATTGCATACCTTGTGTGAATGTGTCCGTGTAAACGAAGAAGGTAGTCAAGATTAACGCCAAGGACAGTGACAGATTGTGTGATGGGGATGTAAGTGCGGGTGTCAGCTGTTCTGAGCTCGACAGGTAATGGAGGATCACGTTTCCTGTAGTTAAAATACGTAATGCTGGATTTAGCTACATTGGTTTTGATCCTCCATTTTTGTTCCCAGATGACTATCCTGTCGACCTCATTTTGTGTTTTGGTGTGTGAGCGTATCTATATTGGCATGAGTGATAAGTTGTGTAACGTCGTCTGCATAGGCTAGTGTGATGGAGTTGTGGTATACAGGGGTTGGAATGTCGTTAGTGTAAAATTGTAGAGGTAGTGGAGAGGACAGATCCGTGGGGTACTCCGGCATTTAGTGTGAAGTAGTCAGAAATAACAACTTTGGAATTTTATTCTCATGTACGGCCGTCTAGGAAGTTGCAGAGGAATTTACGAGTAGTGAGAGGCAAGTTAAAGTTAGTGCAGAGTTTGTACTTGAGCCTTCGTGCCAGAAAAGTGTCAAAAGCTTTTTCAACTCTTTTGCAAACCAGGGCTATCCTGTTTCTTTGTTTTTTAGTTTATGTGGATGTAGTTGAGAATGATGTTAATGGCATCCTGTGTGGATCTGTGTGTCTGAAGCCAAACGGGCCATCAGAAAGAGAGAATTGTGTTCCAGGTATCTCGAAGGGATGATTAATAAGTTTTTTCAAAATTTTTCCTAAAGTTTCGAGGAAGCGAAAGGGCGATATTTTTCCAGGGGTTAAAATGGTCTTTATTAGGTTTGGGAAAGGGAGGATAGCATTACTTTTTAAAAGGGGGAAGGGAAGTACAAGAGGCACAAGGCCTTGGGGGAAAGGGGCCTGGGAATTTTAAAAAGCTGTTTTTTGGGAAAGGAGGTAAAGTTCTTGGGAGGAGGAAAGAGGCCCGATGGATATGGCGGCTGGTTTGTTTCGTGGTGTGTGTAGTTTTTCCAGTGTTCATGTTCTGAATGTTTTTGGATACGTTAGGGGGGGGTGGGTGAGGGAGGAAATGTTCTCCCAGATGTTTTAAAGGGAGTTAGACACCTGAGGTCTGAGATGTGCGTGTTTTGTAGGTGATTGTTTAAATTGTTGGGGGAGTGGTGCCCGCGAAGGTATTTATAGTCAGTTCAATGGTGAGGTCAGGTGGAAAATGCTGCATCTATAGTACCGAGGGGGGTTAAGAGTCTAAATTTTGGGTAGCTTGGGAAAGGGGAGATTGGATAATTTTTTGGGGCAGACCTTCTGCAGTTCCCCTTTCCATTCCTATGTTTTTATGTGGGATAGCGATGAAAAAATTTCTTTGGGAAGTGGTTCACTATGTTAAAAAACCATTTTCGGTTTAAGTTTTTCGGATAAGAGAATTTTGCGGATTTCCAGGATTCTTAGGTATTGAGTGTTGTCTTCTGTGGCGATAAGTCTTGAGTTTCTGTAGTTTAATAAGTGGTTGTGTGAATTACGGTGTTGTACACAGGCATTCCTTGTATCGTCAGACCTGCTTGCGTATTGGTGTTCTGAAATACGTGTTTGGAGGTCCCTTGATGTTTCGCCCACGTATAATTTGCTGCAGTCATTACAAGGGATTATGTATACCCATGCAGAGGATGGAAGCTTGTCCTGTCTATTACTGGTAATGTCCTTGATGGTCGTGGTTGTGGAGGATTCTTCGGTATTGAGTGTTGTCTTCTGTGGCGATAAGTCTTGAGTTTCTGTAGTTTATTAAGTGGTTGTGTAAATTACGGTGTTGTACACAGGCATTCCTTGTATCGTCAGACCTGCTTGCGTATTGGTGTTCTGAAATACGTGTTTGGAGATCCCTTGATGTTTCGCCCACATATAATTTGCTGCAGTCATTACAAGGGATTATGGTATAAACCTTGGTAATAAATGCCGACAAGTTGGTTTAGAAAGACACGTAAGCAAACACTATGACATATTTATTAGAAAACGTTTCGGTCCTGGGACCTTGATCACTTCTAACGTACAGAGGTATGTTAGTATGTTAGAAGTGATCAAGGTCCCAGGACCGAAACGTTTTCTAATAAATATTCATAGTGTTTGCTTACGTGTCTTTCTAAACCAACAAGGGATTATGTATACCCCAGCAAGGATGGAAGCTTGTCCTGTCTATTACTGGTAATGCCCCTTCATGGTCGTGGTTGGGGAGGTAGATACTTGGAATGAGGTATTGGAAAAGATGT